TTTCCATGGGTATTTTATTCAGAATTAGCATTCAACATAAAACACATAGTCTCTGGGTCCTTAAGTCTTGACCCATGTGTTATTTATCATCAGATGTCATGGGATTCCTAATTGAACTTATTTTCTGGGGACAAGTTGTGCCTTACTCTGTTTTCAAGGGTCCCCTCAAAGTCAAGTAACTTCATGAAGGATATGTGCTCTTCAGTGGACGTTCAGGACAGTTCCAATGAGTAGGACTTGACACGTCACAGCTTCAGCCTGCTTGAGTGCTGGTGAGACCCAATCATGTGACATCTCCCAGCCAAGTTGGTCACAGGCTGGGAATATTACTCATTCTTTGATATGTGTCCACATGTACCCACTCTGGGTTTGAAAAAAAAAACAACCAGAGCACTTTTTCCATTAATTTTTAAAACCCAGCATTCATGTTAAAGGAAATGTAATACATAGGGTTCTGAATCATTTATAGCTAAATCTTCAAAGTGTGATTCTCTAAGAAGCAACTTGTGTCTAAGGCATCTTAAGACATACACACACATATGTGTGTTTGTGTGTCGTGTGTGTGTGTGCTTGTGAATTCCTTTGAAACACTGTGAAACGGATGTCGTAGTCTCTGCAGTGTAAACAGGAGTGGCCCTTACTCCTTCCTCAGTTGCAGGATGAAGGACATGAAGGTGGAGACGGGCAGATGAAAATTCCAAGAAGCACTAACCTCAGCCTCTACAGACATGAACACAGCCAGTGCTTCCTGGTCTCCACTTGGTTAGCAATGTCTCGCTCACAGCCAGGGGAGCAATGGGTGGCCACGACTTTTCCATTCTGATGGTGTGCTGAGGTTGGCAGAGAAAACTTGCCAGCTTTCTTCAGAGAAGACCCACACGGGCAAGACCACCCCTCCCTTCTCTTCCCCTCCCACCCCCCTTTTTTCCCCTTTAAAGAAAGTGGCCATAATGTGTCCTTTCATTTATAATTTTATGGCAGTCTCAATTGAACATGTAAAGAAAGTGGAAAAATGCTAAGTTGCCATGGACTTCTGGCTTTTTGCCCACTGTACTATAATCTGCTCTCTCCCCCAGAGCAAAATGATTTCAGAGGTTCTGATAGGAAGAATGTAGCACAGAGAGGCCAGCCGTCGAGAGTCGGGGCCTTCAGGAAAAATCTCTTACTTTCAAATATGATCCGCTTAGCTTCTCACATGGCAAAAAGAGAATTCCGCTGCATCCCATCACGCTGGTAACTCCTGTAAGCAAATGCACTCATCTGATGCCTTCTTTCACTAATGTGTCTGCAAAGTGCTCAATATGCGGTCAAGCATCTCTTTGGTGGCTTGTGTGTGTGTGTGTGTGTGGGTGGGTGGGTGTATACGCGTGTCTGTGCACACATGGGCACGTGTGTGTGTGAGGGTGAGTGTGCAGTTGGAGACGGGATCCTTGATAGCTCTGATTCATTGAAGCAAGGTCTGTCAATCCAACTGATAGTGCATCCCCCTGAATGGCTGGCCTTACTGGCCAACTAGCTCTGTGGATCCCATGTCCTCCTTCCAAGGCTGGAATGGCAGATGGCTGACACAATCACCAACATTTATAGGGCCTCGGGAAGCTGGGCCCTGGTCCTCAACTTTTGTGGCAGGCATTTTAACCACGAACCATCTCCCCAGCCCCTACCTTTTGATCTCTAGATCATATTTGATTAGTGTCACAGCATTCTCTAGAGTGCAGGCATAGGGGCTGTGCCTTCCACTCTCAGGAAAGATCTGCCCCCAATCTCCAATGTGGCTTTATGCTTCTTGAAATTACTATTAGAGAACAAGGTTGTGCGTGTTTTAAATTGCTTTCTTTTGAGTCGAAGTCCCTACAAGAAGAAGATAACAGATGCTAATATTCGTTGACACTTTTGAAATAATTACTGCTGCAGTGCCAGGCTACCATGGAACACAGGCCAGACAAATTTCTCGTGCTGACGCTTGAATTGACAATGCAGGATCATGAATGGGCTTTCCAGCTGAGAAGCTGAACTAATTCTAGATCAGGGGCTGTTTTATTTTACTTAATATTTTCATCTATCTTTGAGAATTTCATATAATACATTTTGGTCATATTCTTTCCCCTTTTTCAAGGTCTCCAAGATACTCCCCTCCCCCTCCCCCTCCCCCTTCCCCTGCTTGCATAGACAGCACATTTGCCACTGAGACTGGTTTCAAAAATATATATATATCTTGCTCTACATAGTTATCTTTAAAGTTCACAGAATAATTTGTATATAGTTGGAGGTATATTTTCTCCCCATCAATAACAATATTTCTTGTTATCCTTTGTTCATGATGTGCTTGCTTAATGAATGCTAACCGTGGGCATGATAAGGCTGGACAGAAGGATGTAAGAGATGTTGAACTCCTAGAAACTCCTAGAAACCCACCAGAGTGTGTCTCCCTCATGCTTCTTGAGTAGCATTTAGCTTCACCTCATCACTTCCAGCTTGGACTTGAATGTTCTGGGAGGAATTGTGGGAGGAAGGCTCCCCCACATACTCAGACACCTTTGTTACCCCTATAAACTTGTCTGGTTTTTTGCCACGAAGCATCAGGTTGATTCAATTTGTGCTATAACTTGAAATCCTGCTAACTAGCGTGTAAGTAATGCAAGAACAGCCAGCGACCCAACTCTAGTTTTGGTTGCCTTCTGGCTTTAAGCACTGGAAGAGGGGAGAATCCATCCATAATTTCCCTGTTGAGAGCATTTTAAAAAGTTTTCTCTTTCATTACGCTGAATTACATCGACTTTTTAAAAATAATTTTTTCATATGTTTCCATCATTTTCCCTGTCCCCCAACTTGTTTTTAATAATTCCAGTTATGTGTACAAACATCTGCCCCAGCTTGTGGCAGTTTTGGAAGGTCCACCTTCCCATGCCTCTCCTCTGTGTGGACAGTTAAAAACTAAGGAGAAAACAACTAATTAACTGATCATTAGCAGGAAGGTGAAAGATCATACTTAGATTTACATGTTGCCTTCTTGATCAAAGGGCAGCGTCAGCATCCACTAATTAATCCATTGGCGAAGAATGCTGTCAGCATGGCTCCGTCATTAGCTAATCTCTGGAAGAAGCGAGATGATTGCCCGTGCATCAGATGGCTTCAAATGACTCTATGTAATTCATTTTTCATCCATCAGATAAAGTGGCCGGATCTGAATTCAATTTCCAATCCATTATCTTCATTTACAAATAAATTCTTACTTTATGAAAAAGACCAAAGTTATATAGCAGACTAGGCAATGGACATAAAACAAATTAATAACCAGAAGCACTGCCTTTAACTTAAGCCTTTTGGGTTTCTAAAAAAATGCTCTATTTCCCATAAACTGTGAATTTAGGCATGTTTCCTTTATGATACAAAGTAGAGTGTTCCTTCTTTTTATAACTTTTACCAATGTACTTCTGATTTTACAAGTTGCGTGTGTATATATGTGTGTGTGCCTCTGTGTGTGGGGGGGCAGAGAATTAATTATTCCCTTCAGGCTGTGGCTTTCCATATATCAAAAATATTTCTGTATATCAAATAATTAATTGAGAATCAGAATTTTGCCAAGACTTTAGAGAGGCACACATTTGTATCCCATAAGAGTCATTCATTTATTCATTCATTCATTCATCTGATTTGGGAAATTCCTTTTGTAATGATGGGTATAACGAACAGATATATGTTAAATTTTGTGGGGAAATTCTAAAAACACACAAAAAGGCACTTTAAAACTGAAGGCAATCTGGGGCTGCAGAGAAGACTCAGCAGAGAAGAGCAGGTGCTGTTCTTGGAAGAACTAGAGCTTAGTCCCCAGCACCTACAACAGGGGCCTCACAATTGCCTGGAATTCCAGCTCTAGGCTGTCCAGTACTTCCTGGCATCCTGGTGTACCTGTCCTCATGAGGATCTACCCCCTTCACCCCTCACCATGATTACACACACACACACACACACACACACACACACACACACACGTACACTTACATAGCAAAAAAATGAAAACCAATCTTATGAAAGAAAGAAAGGAAGGAAGGAAGGAGGGAGGGAAGGAAGGAAGAGGAAGGAAGGAAAGGAAGGAAGGAAGGAAGGAGGGAGGGAAGGAAGGAAAGCAAGGAAGGAAGGAAAGAAAGGAAGGAAGGAAGGAGGGAGGGAAGGAAGGAAAGCAAGGAAGGAAGGAAAGAAAGGAAGAAAGAAAGAAGGAAAGAAAGAAAGAAGGAAGGAAAGAAAGAAGGAAAGAAAGGAAGAAAGAAAGGACGAATGAACTTTTGGGCACCCAGACTCTAAGTCCAAATGGTTATTTACTATCCTTTCTCTGAAGCACAGTCAATCTCCCTAGACTCAAAAGATAGACAAACAGGAAATTATCTCAATTTAAATTTCCGTTTGGGGTTGGTTTCAATTGTGCTTGTATTCAATAACAAAAACCTCCCCAATTCAGTGAATCTAGATAGCCTGTGGAAATTGTTTGTGGGGCTCTTCTCTTCCCATTCGCTTTACTGAAAATCTTTAGCTCAGCTCCAATTTCTATCAACTCCCCTTCCACCCTTTACTTAATCATGGTAAATGAAAGTCACAATGTGCTTTTAAATTAGAGCCTGGTAAATTCATTTTCTCACTGTGACTGGGCAGAGTCTACTGCCTCTGAGAGGAAAGCTAGGAAGCACAGACCACACTCAGCTGGGCAGAGATAAACAGAAAACACGCTTGAAAAAGAAAAAGCAAAAGAAATCAGAGATGCAGTAAGCTAATGGACTCAAGCCTAGATAGCGGCAGAAAGCCAGAGTGGAAAATCACAGCCTGAAATGTCCCTGATATCCAAGAGCTCTCTCCTTTGATGGTAGTGGGAGCCCCTTTAGAAGCTCAGCCACTCCCGGGGCTCTAAATGCTGGAATCTTCCAGCACAGTGTGGCTTTTATCCACTGCTAGTGTGATTTCCTTTTCCTCAATGAACCTACTAAGACTTTTTATCTTCTCACACCTAGGGATTTCTCTGTTTGTGATCATTTTGCCTGCGTGTCCGCTACAGATGAAATGAATGACACGACTAAACCCCAGCAGCCTCTGCCTCCATCACATCTAGAGGATGACATGTCCCTTGGGATTTTAGAGTGGCCCTAAGCACCCTGTAAGTCCACTGTGTTCTTGCAGACACACTTAGTAGCTCATTTGGAAAGGTACTTAGGCTCTTAAATAAATTCATTCAAGGACAATTATTGGGGACACTGGGAACTGCTTTTCCATGCATGAGTCTTTCTTTCCTTCCAAGGCCTCTGTCTAATGAGTTGGTGACTCCTCTGGTTCACATAGCAGTATATATCTGATTCATCTATGAGTCTGTTTTATAAGCTAGCATAACAGTTGACGTGTAGCCTTAAAATACCTTGGAAAGTATATAGGAGCTAAGAAAATACCCTTGAGAATCACTGGTAGCTTTGACATTTTAATTCATACAAAGTCACTTGATATCTAAAATTTCTTACTAAAAGACAAACATCATGAAGGTTGAATATCCTTACTTTCACATGCTCAGGAACAAAAGCCCTTCATGTTTCAGTAACTTTCAGGGCCCTTTTTTCCTTTTTTAAATTTGTGTAGTCTTTACCAGGTGAATTCCAAGACATTCAAGGTGCTGGCATTTAGAGCCTTTTGGAACTTGCATTTTCAGATTAGAGATATTCAACCTACAATAAAACATTTTTTTGGTTTTATGAGACAGGGTTTCTCTGTATTGTTTTGGAGGCTGTCGGTCCAGCCTGGCCTCGAACTCACAGAGATCCGCCTGCCTCTGCCTCCCGAATAGCAACTATAAAACGTGAAAACAAAACCAAAAGCAAACCACTAAAATCATAAAGTAACACCACCAACAAAAGCATAGTACAGGCAACAAAGAAGGAACAGATGGCTTATTTGCCCTTGTATTGTCATTTCTGTAGGAAAAAGCTCCAGCTAGTGTTATCTGTGTCTTAGGAGCCCACATTGAACAACCACATCTAGCTGCACCTTTGCTTCTCAGACTAACTAAATTTCTTTCATTCATAAAATAAGACCAATCCAGACCAACTCTGGAGATTGACCAGCTGTCTGGGCATGCCCAGGACTCTCTAGATTCTAGCATTTGAAAGAACAGCATTCTAGGTAACCACTGACTCCTGAACAAGCCAGTAAAGGGAGTTGGTCACTTTTTCTTTATTTTTAAAGAAAACCATGAGTAAAAACATTCAAGATGTGTAAGACCATGCCCTACACACATGGGATCTCAATTTAGTAAGGTGTTGTGGTATGTGTACAACTCTCTCTCTCTTTCTCCACACATTTTGGATATATCTTTGTGAAACAAGCAGGAAATAGAACCTTCCATGCCAGTTGTCAACCTGGGTGAGTGACACCCTTCTTGATGGACTTGAGGAGTCTGGAGGCAATATATCATGTACCCTCCTGAAGACAATAGAGATTTCCCAGTGTCCCCTGTGATTGTCTATGAGCAGATCTACTTAAGTCAAAGCCTCAACACCTTCCAGAGAGGTGAGAGGTGGAGTATGGCACACACACACACACACACACACACACACACACACACACACACACACACACACACACACACCAAGGCTTGTTGTAGTAACATTAGGTATCTTATTGCCTCATGAACTCCAACAGTGGCAAGTGTCGTCTTTCCCATTTGGTGCACGAGGGCATGAAGACACAGAGTGGAAAGATTTGCTTGGGGCTTGAGCATGGTTTGGCAGGAGCCAGGATCCCAGTGAAGGTTACCCGATTCTATGATGACTCTTTACCTAGCTCACAGGGCTCCTGGGCTCACAGGGCTACAATGATTGGTGCATGAAAATGGTTGTGCGCCTTCAACTGGAAGCCAGGGTGTTCTCATTACTCTTATCACCAGTGTCTGTCCATTCTTGCCTTGCTGTCCCAAACTACAAATGCTTTGAGAGATAATATGTCTGCACCCAGTAAGGAGGTCCCCTCTTCAATCAAGAAAGCAAAGCCATATGTCCTTGGGTATGCAATTTACAGCAAAGAATCGTCCCCACTTTCTCAGGTCAGCTATGGCTCTGTCCTTTCTTACCTTTCTGATGAGGTTTCCTGCATCCCTGTGCCATGTAAAGGTGGGCCCCATAGCTTTGAAGGTGGAAAGCAGATGATAAAGGTTAATTCGGGATTGAATTACTGTTATACATGCTCAAACTGCAGATTAATTGCCATTCAGTCCTGTTTCTCAAAAGCTGGACTGAACAGGGATGCCCTTAGCACACAAAATAAAAGGAGCCTAGCATTCGTGCATTCAATCCAGGGTTTGCTTTGGATTAGAAACTTAACAGAGGGTGTGTATTCACCTTCAGCATTCTCCATTTAGTTGGACTTGCCTGCTGATTAATGGAGGCTGTAGACTCGAAATGACATCCTCATTGGGGCAGCAGAAGTGGCAGAAACTTCACCAGGTGTGGCTAGTTTATGTTCAGGTGTGGACAGGACAGTCATTGAAAGCAGAGCCCGATTTCATCTCCTACCTAAACTCAACACCTCCCCCGCCCCACCCCTGGCAGCAATTCCTTGCCAGCACAACCCTCTTTTGCTTGTTGGGCATGCAAACCCTTCACTCATCAGAGGCCCAGAGCACTTTGGAAGGCTAGGATGTGTCAGTATCAGTAAGCTAATGGAAGCCATGTGTTCCCAGTGTGGAAAAAAGCATCCAGACCTGGCTGGCTTAAGTGAGCCTGAAGCAGAGACTCTCTGGTGGAATTTATCCTTTTCCTAGCAGCTGTTAGCCACTCTGAAGATTAGCTTGCTGTTGTTCTGTCTGATGACCCCATGCTTAAACAAAAAGGACTCATTTAATAAGGGCCAGGGAAGCCCCTAAGATTTATCAAATAGATATCGAGGCTAGGCAGTTCAATGATGTGATAATAATCAGAAGAACCATTAGCCCAGCCAGCTGTGTGTTTAGTACCCATACCTGCCTTGTAAGAGTCCTATCTTGATGGACCTATGTAATCCTGACCCCAAGTAGGCAACTAGGCATTGCCATTTCCATGCAACACATCAACACCTTTGTACAGGAGGGTAGAGGAATGTCTCTGACTGTGACACCGTGGAATGGATTGTCATTTTAGTCTTTACACTTTTTCCACACGGCACAATGGCCTAGGAAGGGGATTTGTGATATTAATGTTCTAACTAAGAAATATGAAATGTAGACATTATCTAAAATCTCAAAGGCTATATGGTAGGGAGAGGACAACAGACATATGTTAACATAGGGTCAAAAATTCAGTCCGGGTAGCCTGACTTGCCAGGAGTAGTAAGGTAAGGAGGGCTTGTCCCAATAGGCTGACAAGATATGGGTTTAATACACCCTACAATGACATTGATATAAAAAGAGGGAGAGACATTTTGGGGGAGAGGGTTCAGTTATTTGGTGAACATTTTACTTTAATTTTCATTGTTGTGATAAATACCCGAGAAAAGAAACTTCGGAGAGAAAGAATGTGTTTCAGCTCACAATTCCAGGGGACAGTCTGTATTAGCCACTTCCTGTTGGTGTGCTTAAAAAATGCTGTGACACAAAGTGACTTTTAAGAGGAGGAGTTTCTGTTGGCTTGCTGTTCCAGAGGGAGAGCCCATGGCAGTGGGGGAGCGTGGCAGGAAGAGGCTGAAGGAGGAAGCTGAGAGTTCACATCTTCAACCACAAATGAAGCAGAGGGAGCAAATTGCAAGTTGGGGGAGGCTCTACACATCAAAGCCTGCCCACAGTGACATACTTCCTCTAACAAGGCTCTACCTCTTAAAGGATCCATGACCTCCCCAATAGTGACACCAACTCGAGTCCAGATATTCTATTGCTGGAGTCTATGAGGGACAGTTTTCATTCAAACCACCACGGTGCCCATCATTTCAGGGAAATGAAGGCAGCAGGGATTTGAAGCAACCATGTTCACATCCGTGATCAAGAGCGCAGAGAGTATGTTTGTAGTCAGCTTGCTTTCTCCATTCACACAGTCCTGGATCCAAAATCAGAAAATGGTGCCTCCCCTGTCCCCACAATCTTCCCACATTAATTACCATTTATGTAATCAAGGCAATCCCCCAGTTTTCTGCGTAGTTTTTCATAGCAACGAGGAAAAAAATTATCTAGTACTTCTGTGACAGAAGAGGCTAGAACCCACTCCCCAGATTTCAAAAGATGGAGGTAATCACGGTTCTTCACCTTCCTTCTGACCTCAGAGTCCCCATGCCTACCCCTCTGCTTCCCACCTCAACTCTACCAAGCCTTTGGACTCTCATGCAGTAGAAGCTTGGCCCTTCCCCACTCACGGACTGGGGCCTGTGGGAGTCTTTTAGACAACTCATCATCCAGATTGTAGAGGTCTCTCCTTCCTTCCTTCCTTCCTTCCTTCCTTCCTTCCTTCCTTCCTTCCTTCCTTCCTTCCCTCCTCCCTTCCTTCTTTCCTTTCTTCCTTTCCTTCCCTCCTTCCCTTCTCTCCTTCCTTCTTTTCTTCCTCTGTTGCTTCCTCCTTCCCTCCATCCCTTCCTCCTCTTTTTTTAAAATTTTATTTGTAAACGGACACTTAGAAGCTTTTCACTCTGGCTTGCCAACTGATTTGGAAAAAAAATCCCAAAACTGAACTTGCTATTTCCTGAAAATTTATCAGCCCTCCCTGCCCCCTTCTAAAAATATATTTTGTGTTGGAGAATCAAAGTCAGGGAACTTGATAAGCAGTTAATTAAAACGAATGAATTCTGTCTGCGTTTGAAGGAGGAACAGCCCCACCTTAAAGTTCTCTCATTTGCTTCCTTGAACATGGCATTTTCTCGATATATCATAGTGTTGGAAAACCTACGTCTTTGAGGCAATAAATAAGAGTGTACTGTTTTCTCACTTGGGGAAAGTGATTATTTGTGTGTGAATACTTTAGGTAATTTTTGGAGGCCGAGTGGGAGAGATTTCACTCTGTCACATCTGGCTAATTGGCAAGCCAGTTGTCATCCTGGCCCTCTGTAATGTGGGAAGAAAATGCATTAAATGCCAGTGTAGAGGGTTGGAATTTTAAGTAGCATTGATTTGACAGTTGCAAAAAATATTTTCATCATTTTTGGTCTTTCTTTCTGGAA